ACACACACAAAGATAGACAAATTACAGATGAATGCTACAAGCTGTGGGACCGGTTCATGTGGCCTAGTCCTTCCCTGCCCCTGAGCCTAGAGTCCCTGTGGACTCTAGTCTCTCTTGTCCTTGTCGGTGGAGGGAAGGACTAGAACTCCACCTAGGCCTTTGACCTTTGTGTTCAGCTCCTATGCTAATGAGTTACCAAGCAACAAATGCAGCTATTAAGTCATTGTTGTACTGTGGGAAGTTCTTCTTAAAGCCTCACCTAAACCCTGTAGCATCACTCAAATGTGTGTCCCCACACCCCTCTCCATGGTCCTGAATTGTCATTATGCTCAAGGGCAGGGCAGGATGGTGGTCACACTAGAGACTGGGACACATTAGCTGTGTGGAAGTATCTAAGGACTGTCTTCCTGCACATGGCTCCACTCCTGCTCTTCCCCATACAGACAGCCCCTTCCCTTTGCTGGGATAATGGTTCTGGCTCTGCTTGGTGGCCTTTGACGCCATGTCTCCTTGATAGTCCCCAGGGTCTCATTCCACTTCACTATTCACTAATGACTCTCACTCTCTCATCAGGGGAGCCCACAATCCATTCAGGAGCATGAGGCCACTTCCCAGGCCTCTCACCTACACCTGATGCTGGGGCGCCTAAAAGAGTGGAAATCCTTGCCAGGCTCCAACCTGGGCTCCACGCCCATGGCACTGGAGCGGAACCTGTCAGAGTTGCAGCTTCAGGCAGCTGTGGAAGCAACTGGGGACCTGGAGGTAGACTGCTACCGGGCACCTTGCTGTGAGAGCCAGGATGAACAGGCCCTGTGGCACCTCCTGAAAGAGAAGCAGTTGGCTCAGCTGGAGGAGAAGCTGCGAGTGTTTGAGAACATTGTTGCTGTCCTCAACAAGGAGGTAGAGGCGTCCCACCTGGCACTGGCCGCCTCCATCCACCAGAGCCAGCTGGACCGAGAGCTCATCCTGAGCTTGGAGCAGAGGGTGAGTGAGATGGGCATGTACTCTCGGCGTCGGCTCAGGAAGCACCTATGCCATCCAGCCTTCTAGTCAATCATCCTGCTCAGAACCGTTGCCCCCATCCTAGCCCTTCTCCTGTGTCCCAGGGAAGATCCTGAATCAAAGGTTGGAGAAAAGCCAATGCCATGCTATCCAGTGCTTCAGGTCTTCTGTTTAGAATTGACCCAGAACTCTCCATCCACTGGCTCCCTCCACTCAAGCCATTGTTGGGCAGTTTCATTATTACAAAGTTCCTGCTTTCATAAAGCTCCGTTTCCCCTGTATTGTTCCTGACTGTGACCTTCAGGACCCTCAGAGCAACTGGTTTCTTGTCCCCACAACTGCTCTCCAGAGCAGTCAGTGCTCATATCCTAGTATACCTTCAGTGCCCCCTCTGCTCTTGAGAACATGGTGGGCCATGACACTCTCTATGCTCTACAAGAGCCCACATGCAGACTGACAAGCCCACAGTTCTCAGTCTACCCTCTATTCCAGAGATTACACTTTTCCTAATGTAGCCAGTCACCAGGTTCCTGACACTTTTTAAAAACAGCAACATTCTTTCCCTGCCTCCTTTAGTTCCATCCGTACCACACCTGGCCAATTAGGTCTGAGCCATTCACCTTCTTTCTCTCTCACAGCTCAAGTTTATCCTCTCAGGTTTCTTTGGGGAAACCTACTAGCAGGTCAGGCACTGGGCTCAAATGGCCAGGCAGATCCTCGGTTTATACCATTTACACCCATGCCCCAGTTATAAAGCAGGTTCCCTGAAGGCAGTGAGGGTTCCCATCTCACCATCAGACTTCTGGCTTTGTTCCTGCAGCTGGGCACTATGCTAGGTATGGGCACAAAAAGGACAGGAGCCTGCCATGGGGAGACAGCCCAGACAGAAGGATGGATGTCATCATAAGAGCTGTAAAACACAGTGAGGTAGCCTAGCCAGCAAGGACAATGACTGGAGGCTTTTCAGGAAGGGATATGTGAGCTGGACTCCTGCTGAGTGGCTAGGAGTTGACCAGGGGAGCAAGGAGAGAAAGGGACTCCAAGCATGGGACAGGCACAGGCACTGAGTGATGCTTAGTCAGGAAAGCGTCTCTGAGGTGATGCATCCCTATGCTCCACTATCGCCACCAGTCCCCCAAGCTGGGTATCTCTGGCTGACCAGCCTTCCTTGCAGGTGGTGGAGTTGCAGCAGACCCTGGCCCAAAAAGATCAGGTCCTGGGCAAGCTTGAGCAGAGCCTGCGACTCATGGAGGAGGCCTCCTTTGATGGCACCTTCCTGTGGAAGATCACCAATGTCACCAGACGGTGTCACGAGTCAATGTGTGGCAGGACAGCCAGCCTCTTCTCTCCAGGTAACTCTTTGTGGGCACAGAGACTGGTAGGAGAGACAGGCCCCAGGGAGCCCAGGAGACAAGAAGCCAGAACAGCCATGCTGAGTCAAGCTGGGGTCCCTGCCAGTGATGAGGGAGACACAGGCTGTACTCTCTGAGCTATGGCACTTGCCATTGCAGCAGCAACCCTCTGTCCTTTCTAGATGTCAACCACACTCGGCAAAGAGGTGCAGACGGTGGCATTCTTCAGCCCACGATCTGCAGTAAGAGGCAGAGGACTGAGTCAGGCCCTGGAGAGCCGTGTGCATGTGGGAAGACTATGGGCATCAGTGAATTGAGTGGTTCTTCCTTGTTTCTGGGTCCCTTGTTGAGAACAGTGACATAACAGAGTAATGACTTGGTAGTTATTGTTATCCACTAACTGGTAACAAAATGCTCGTGTGTGTGTGTGTGTGTGTGTGTGTGTGTGTGTGTGTGTGTGTGTGTACATATCAATGGCATACATATAATATTTACATGCAGCTCTGGGTCTGTTTAAGGCACACCATCTGCCAGGACCAGGCCATCCATGGATGTGACATCTGAAAGCCTTGGCAAGTGTTTGCCCTCACAGCCTCGTTTTATAGGCAAATAAACTGAAGCCAAGGATGAGGGGTCCCCAGCAGGGGGCTGCTTAGAACTAGGCACAGAGCTCTGCCCAAGGATGTACCATCAGGGAGAGAGCCACATAGGCCCTCATGATTGATCATCAGGGATGACTTGCCTCTTGGGGCCATTCCCAAGGGTTGATAGCAGAACCAAAAAGTCCCCTTCTCACACTGGCCTCCAGGGAGGACCCAATCTTTGGGCAGCAGAGAAAATCAATGCCAAGACCTGGAAAACCTGGTCCTTAACCCTGATTCTGCCTCAGCAAATAAATCAGTGCCCATCCACCTCCTTTCCTAGGTTCAGTGTCTAGTTACTTGAGGGTTGGTTACAACGGTCGATCCCAAGTATGACTGTGAGGCAAGCAGCATGGCACTCAGGGAAGTGCTAAAACCACAGATGCCAGATCAACCCCACTGCCTAGCCAGTCATCGAGTGGGAGCCTCCTCTGGGATCAGGAGACTGACCCCTCAGCCAGGCCACCTCCAAGAGCATGGCCTTCCTTGGCACTCTCCTGGAGAAGAGAGCTGGGCTCCAACCTTCCCCCCACCCCCCACTGTCCTCAGCCCCCTGCCTGCTGCTCCCCATCTCCTCATCTACAAAGCCCAACACTGGATTGTTGCCATGTGCTGACACTGGCTTTGCCTTTCAGCTTTCTACACAGCCAAGTATGGTTATAAGTTGTGTCTGCGGTTGTACCTGAATGGGGATGGCTCAGGCAAGAAGACCCACCTGTCCCTGTTCATCGTGATCATGAGAGGAGAGTATGATGCTCTCCTGCCTTGGCCATTCCGGAACAAGGTATGGACCCAGGAGAAGATGGGTTAGGGAGGTCATGGTAACCTGGGTCCTAGTGCTGGCTTTTGCTATGAACCTGGGGCTTGGGCAAGTCTCCTGTGCTTACTGTAATCAATTTCCTTTTATAAAATGAAGCTGAGTGCAAATGCAGTGGCCGAGGCTCCCAATGCTCTGTGCAGAGCTGCAGTGTCTGGAGCAGAACACTCTGGAAGAGGGTGAAGACCCAAGCACGGGGATTTTTAAAGCCCTCCCCAGGAATTCTAGTGTCAGCAAGTTCAACAATGGCTTCAGTAATGAGAAGCATTGTGTTTCCTGGGGTACATTCAAGGGCTTGTGCCAGGGCATTGTTTGTGTCATGCTAGGTGATCCACTTCTCAGGGAGGTACATGATCTGCTCTGGGTACACCACAAGCTTGGTGGAAGTCCCAAGGCTTGGATAGAAGCCCCCCGCCCCAGTCTGCTATTGCTTCTCTGCCTGGCAGCAGGAGGTCGCAGCAGAAGCTGACACGTGGTAGGTGCCCGAGACCTGCAACCTTGTCGGTGCACCCTAGCCTCAGCAGCCAGTTTAACTGCAGCATCAGAACCCCCACTGCCATGAGCCTAGAGATGAATTAAATTCCCCAGAACACACACCAAAATCAGGTGTGGGGACTGCCATGCCAGAACCGGGAAGGAGATGCTATGAGGAACCCTGGGGCTTGCTATCCAGACAGTGGAGCTTAACCAATGATCTCCAAGTCTGAATAAAATAATAATAATAATTCATAATATTGTGGAGAGCAATTGAAGAAGACACCTGATGGTGATCTCTGATTTGCATGCACACACACACACACACACACACAATTCCCACTGGGTGGGACAGTGATAGACAAACCCTGAAGTTGCCACAGTACTAGATGTTCCTTCTACCCCATGGACAGATGTGAAATCCCTTCCACCTCTGCCTCCTCTCCATGTGGAATGGGGGGGTGCCTCCTCTCCATGTGGAATGGGGGGGTGCCTCCTCTCCATGTGGAATGGGGGGGTGCCTCCTCTCCGTGGCCAGAGGTACAGCCTCTGGGCATGGAGCCCTCTGAGCCCAAACACTGGGCTTCCATGGAAACAAATGTTATTCCCTGAGGTCTGACCTCTCACCTGCTCCTACCCTGCAGGTCACCTTTATGCTGCTTGACCAGAACAACCGTGAGCACGCCATTGATGCCTTCAGGCCTGACCTGAGCTCGGCCTCCTTCCAGCGGCCACAGAGTGAGACCAATGTGGCCAGTGGCTGCCCACTCTTCTTCCCCCTCAGCAAGCTGCAGTCACCCAAGCACGCCTACGTAAAAGATGACACAATGTTCCTCAAGTGCATTGTGGACACCAGTGCTTAGGGATGGGAGGTGTCTCCTGAGGGGAACCAACTCAGACTGGGGGATTCAGCTAAATGGGCCTCCATGCCTTGCCCTTGGAGCACACAGTCCAAGACAAGGGTGGGCTGCAGCTGGTATGACCAGAGTATGCCACAGCAGCTTGGCTGTGGCGGCTGTGAGAGTAGGAGGACTGGAGCTGTGCCGGCAGAGACAGAGTGGAGAAGGCAAAAGTGCTTTCTTCACAAAGACTACACAACACCAGAGACTGTCATACCAACAGGCCGACACACCAGCAGGCCAGCAGGTCCTGAATGTTGAGACCAACCTAAGACTGGCCTAAGGCATGGATGTTGAGCCAAGGCTGTGGAGCCTAAGCAGAGGAATACTCCCACTAGAAAGGTCTCTGTAGCTCAGTGGAAACTGGAAATATGTCCAGTCTCTCTGTTCAGACTCAGAACTCAGGGCAGGTCTGAAACTGGAAATATGTCCAGTCTCTCTGTTCAGACTCAGAACTCAGGGCAGAAGGGTCAGACGCTAGTGTGAATTTGAGCTGTCCTGGGCTGAGTTCCTATGTTAACAGATAATTCCAGAAGCTGTACCAGGAAGGGCTTGTGGGTTGGATTTGAAGACCTCTGATGTTTTTACAGACAAAAGAAACAACAACAAAGGCCTTTGAATTATAAGCTTCCTGTCCCTGGTGAGGCTACAGTCACAGAGGATCCTGGGTATTTCTCCAGGATCCTCATATCCCTTCCAGCTCCCCACTTTTACCTAAACCTAGTAGCCCAGTTTCCCAACAGACAGGAGCACACCCAGGGCAAGTAAAGATCTTGTCATGCCAATCGAGAGCTGGTGTCCAGCACACAGCACCTTCGTGACTGCTCACAGAGTGCCCAGCAAGGGGGATTGCTACACTGCTAGGGACCACTGTTCCCCCATCCATGCATCTCCCTCCCTTCTCCCATCCCTGCCTCCCTTCTTCCCGTCCCCCCTCCCTTCAGTCTCAGGTAGGCAGACTGGTTTCAAACTCACTCTAGAGTCAAGTTGATGTTGAATTCCTGATTCTCCTGCCTGTAGCTCGCAAGTGCTGGAATATCGGCGTGTGTCCCCTGCCTGGTTCCATGAGGTGCTGGGCCAGGGCTTCCTGAATGAGATGGGCAAGTGCTCTGCTCAGCCACATCCCCACACCTTTAATGGTGCACCTCTGATGGGAAGAGATGTCCTCACACAGTTGAGAGGCACTGCGCTTCCAGCAAAGCATGATGGGCAGCTGTGTGTATCATCTATGCCTAGACCCTCCCAGGGAAATAGTGAGCCATGAACCCCACTCTCCTAAAACTCCTAGTTGCTGAGAGAATCCAGCGTGATAGTAGAGCATTATCACTAAAAGTAGAATGAAGGGGATAGCATAGACTCCCTTGGACAAATCAGGGAGGGCTTCACTGAAGAAGTGAGCTTTAGCCAGCCTGAAATGCTTTAAAATGGAGAAGATCTGGGTGTGGAGGAGAGAACAGCCTTGGAGGGATAGGATGTGTCTTGGCTGGCTGCAAGCAGGGGGCTGGGTGACCAAAGGCTGGAGGAGAAGGCAGAAAAACTGGACCAGCCAAAACATGGACAGGCCAGCTGGCCAGAACACAGAAAACATCAAATGCTGAGCTGTTGTGCACCTGCAGGGCCCTTGGCCTGTTAGCAGAGGATGAGACAATGGTTTAAACAGATCATTTATCTCACAGAGAAGCCCTGCACTTATCTCTTCTGGGTGATTCAGGGGTCAGGGAGGCAAGCTGCTGGCAAATCCTGTTTCATTGGATCCTCACGATCCCCACTGAGGTGAACAGGCTTGTGCCCATTTACAGGTGGGGATGCTCAGGCCAGAGCAACCATGGCAATTGCTGGCATTGCAAGCCCCATCTTTGGTGTCCAGTTCCCCTCCCTTCCACCAGGTTTCCCTCCAATGACACCACCAGCCACAACAAGGTTGCATTTTTATCAGTCCTTGGAAGGCGATGGGTCCTTCACCGAGCCTGAGGGCCAACTCTGCAGGACAATGCCAGCCCCACAGTGGCCAGGAAGCAAGCAGTTGGCCTGGACAATATCTGCTCAGTGACCACAGTGTCATGTCCACAGGTGACCCGCAGAGAATGATGGGAAGTGGGAACACTTGTGATTCATGCCTTTAACTTGGAGGTTCTACGTAGATGAGAAACACTCATAGAAAAGCTGTAAGAGTAGTGGCTGGGCAGAAAGAAAAGTTGCCATGATCCCAGAAACTAGAGAGCACTACTGCAGATATTTTTGTAAGTTTTCTTGCCTTTTGAAAACAGTATTTTATAGATACAGTATTTTATAGAAACAAACTCAGAGAGGTCAGATCATTTTCTCAAGGGCAAACAGGCAATAGGCAGATCTACGCCTCCACGGTCAGAGGCTTACTGCTCACTGTGGTACCCTCCCTGGGGACTGAGTCAAGCGGTAGAGAGTCAAATGGGAAGTGACATGCCTCCTGGAATAGCTGCCAGCCCTTCAGGTCCCTCTCCAGGAGAGACACCTCTTGCTTGCAGCACTCTGCCTTTGAGGCAAGGCTTCTTGGGTGGGATCCCCCAGTGACCCTGTGCCAGGAGCTGGATTTCATTTGCCTCCACATCTGGGGCATGCATGCACACACATGTATGTGTTTAAGCAGAGCGCACGCATGTGGCACAGATGGGATTTATAGAGCACAGCAGAGGGAGCTGGATAGTACAGTCACCTGGGCCATTGGCATTCTGTTGGGTCCTTTCCTCCAGCCCCACCTGTCCCAAAGCCTTTTCCTCCTGGGAAAGTCCAAGAGGGGCAGTGCTAAACATAACTGACCAGATCCCACCAAAGAGCAATAGCAAGATCCAGAGTGGGGCAGCTGCTGAGCCAGGCCACCTACCAAGTTAGTAGCTTTTCCTCCCCTCTCTGCCTAGAGCCCTCAGCATCCCATAAGCCATGGAGTAGTTGGATCCATTCCCCCAGCAACAAAGACTGTACTCTTGCAGAATTAGCAGAGGTGCCCCCTTCTCTCTCCTCTCTCATTTCTGTCTCTCTCTCTCTTTCTCTCTCTCTCTCTCTCTCTCTCTCTCTCTCTCTCTCTCTCTCCTCTCTCTCTGCCCCCCTTGTGGGGAAATGCTCATGCACATTTGTGCATGTGTGGAGACCAGGTCAGTCTTGAGTATTATTCCTCAAGTGGCATCACCTTGTTTTTTGAGGCAGGGTCTCTCACTGTGACCCGAGGGCATCACCTTGTTTTTTGAGGCAGGGTCTCTCACTGTGACCCGGGGGCATCTCCTTGTTTTTTTGAGACAGGGTCTCTCACTGTGACCCAGAGCTCACAGATTCAGCTAGACTGGCTAGCAACAAGCCCTGGGAATCCACCTGTCAATTCCTCTGCAGTGTCAGGATTTCAACCAAGCACCAACACGCCTGGCTTTTTATGTAGGTGCTGGGGTCTGAACCCAGGTCCTCACACTTGTGCAGCAAGCACTTCACTGACTGAACTGTCTTCCCAGGTAGGCCCCTATGCAGGGAGTTAGGGAAAGAGCTTGGAGACAGTGAGGAGCCCACTCAGGGAAGCATCTCCTCCAAGAGGGCCGAGCCCCTGTGGGCCTGGGCCTTCTGACCATGGCTGGCCTTCCTGGTACACCCAAGAGCTTTCTGGTGTCACTCTGTACACAAAACTGATCTCTTTCCATAGTCTCACCTCCAAGCACAGCTCCACCTCTGGAGAAGTCCCCAGCCCAGCAGTGAGATGGAACCTACTTGAGACATAAGCTCCTCCCTGCTACCACTGTCCTGGGAAGTTCATGCCCCAAACACACCTTGTAATGTGCAAGTAGGTGATAAGGGCAACCAAGCCAAGGCCCTCAGTGCAATTTTCTTCCACTGTAGGTTAGGACAGTCGCTTGCTGTCTCTTGGATTTGCACTTCTGCCAGGTGGGTGGGGATAGGCACAGGCCCTGAGTGCCAACCTTATCAGAAGCCTGTTTTTCACTCTGCCTTAGTTGCCCCATCTATTAAATGAGGCAGCTAAGCCCTGCGAGGTCTACTAAACACCATAGATTGCCAGGACTCAGGTCTCCTACTACACACACATACACACACACCCCTGCCAGGAAAGCTCCCTTTGCAGACAGTAATCACTTAACCTTCTGCTGATATCGACCTAATCTGTACAGGTTATCAATTTCACGAGGAAGACAGTGTAGTGTTGTGGGGATATGAAGTAACTTGCCCCATGGCCCACAGTTAATTTGTGACTGAGCTTGGGCCTCGGCAGGAATCTGATTTTGCTCTCACCTTTGCCCCAGAGCTACCCTGCCTAGCTTGGTGGTCACTAATCCATGTGGGCCTAAAGCAATAAGGCAGGCTGAAGACAGCCCTCTATGTGCTCAGACATGGACATAGGAATGTGTTATCTTAAATGGCAAAATGGGTTTTGCAGATGCAATTAAATTGAATATTTTTATTTGAGAGAGTATCTTGGATTACCCAGGGGTCCAAGGTCATCACAAAGGAAAATTATAAAAAGAATCAGAAGAACCCAAGGCAGAGAAGATAAAAATAATGACAGAAACAGAAAGAGGTGACAATACAAACCTCAGTTAGGTGGATGGGAAAGAGACTCCAAGCCTGAGTGCAGCACAAAGGACGCCATTACCTAAGACCTGACACTGTAAATCTCACTTAAGGCTTCTAACCTGCAGGTCTGGAGGTGAGTGTGGCTTTGAGCCACTGCGTTTGTGGTAATGTGTTCCAGCAGCCACAGGAAATGAATGCAGCCCTTGAATTGTGGCAGCACCCAGTTAAGAAGTGCTGAAAACTACAACACAGACTTTATAGTGATTTCAACATTCTGGATAGATTAGATTTCTAGGAAACTTAGAAACACATCCGTGGTCCATGTGAGCTTGACACCCAGCCATACTAGAGAACTCTCTCCATCGCCTTGGCCAGAAGGAACAGGCCCTCCCCTCCCTGTGTGGCCTGTGGCCAGCTCTGCAGAGCCAAGGATGGGGATCCCCCTACACACACATCCCCTGCAGGTGGGGAGTCCTGGTGGTAGATGAATGTCCCCACCCCCTTCCCCCACTCCCATCTGCCTCTGGGCCCTCCCGGTGTCCCTGTAAGATGTGACGGTTATTTTTAGCTCTTGCTGTCTCAGCACAGCTGGCTCTGAAGTTTTGCTGGGTGTAATCCAGCCTCAACTGCCATCTCCCTGTCAACGGGGTTCTTAGGAAAGGTCAGTTCAATGGTTCTGGGGCCTTTCTGGGCCTATAAGCAAGCTCCCAACCTCCCTGGCAAGGACAAGGACCATAGACCTTGTCTTTGGATAATGAAACTGAGGTTCCTGCAGTCTCAGAGGTAGCAAAGCTGGATCTTAAAAGGATCTTAAAAGCCATCTAACTGGAGCCTTCCTCCAGCAGCATGACACTTGGAGGTGGAAGCTGTAGGTCTGCCCACTCAATGCCAGCTGTTTTGGGGGTCTCACACAAGCTTCTTCAGGGGCAGAGGGGTGAGCATTTTGTGCCTTGGGAAGTCTTTTTGTTTTGATTTTTTTCAGTGATGGGGCTTGAACCCAGGGTCCCAGGTGTACTGTTTGCCATACCACACCTTCAGCCCTAGGAAAGTATTTTAAACAAGACAAGACTAGCAAGCAACA